CCATATTTATACCAGAACGTGGGAATCGATCTCATAGTTATGCCGAAACGTGGCAACCGATCCAAGTTAGTGTATCGGAACGCAACACCCGATCCATTCAACAAATCACAATCACAATATATATTCTCACAATCATACAACAAGAGGTGATTCATGGCATACAATTATTCAATTATCCTCATTTACGATTAGGGTGATCAATAATGCAATATTCGCATACATACATGTATTATAATGAGCAATTTCAAACATATATCACACCAACATGAAATCACAACCATCACCTACCTCGAATCCAAGCTTGAATCCCCCAAGGCACTTGAATTTTCCCTTTCCGGATTCTTCCCGCTTGTTCGTGGTCTAAAAACATACAAGTAACGCAAGGATCAATAAACGAGGCCAAATTACCCAAATTATAATCAATATTATCAACCCTAGGTCAAACCCTTGATCCCCATACCCATATAAGGGTTTCTTCCACCATAAATCACATATCAAAACCCTTCCCCATCGATAATTACCCAAGAAACTAAGTTCTACAAATCGAAAAGCGGATTCGGGGAGTAAAAACCTTACCTTTAGCCTCAAGAATGGTGGAAAACTGTCAAGAAAACTCTGGGGTCGTTCCTTAGCTCTCAAAGTCAAAAAGTGCGGCATAAAACGTTTTTGGGGTTTTATTTCCGACTTAAGTCGCGTCTGTCCCGCTATGGCAGCACTCATCCTGCTACAGCGGCCCCGCCCTGGCGACAGAAATCCTGCCCCAACAGCTTGCACGGAATCAGTGAGCTATTTTAATAATTCCAAGACCCCCAACACACCTTTAACCAACGACGCTCATAAAATACCGTTTACGCTAAGATCGATTTTGGGAGTTCTACTCACCCGAATTCAATTTCGTAAAGTCGTACAGATTTCTTAACGACTTATCTAACTACTCATGTAATCAAAATCATAATTAAACCATCCGATTGTTACCAGATTTCCCTACACCTAAATGACACTGATTTCGTCCAAATCTGGACTAGGTTAGGAAATTCCAAGTTACTACCAAAAGTTTTCTGACCCCCAATTCTTTCTCCATTGGCTTTTCCCTAACGACGGAATCAGGTCGTTACAATGAGGGTGATGAGGGGTGTGTCTATTTTTGAGAATCAGTTTGGATTCATGTTAGGGCGATCGACCACACAAGTCATACATCCTATGAAGAGACTATGAAAAATAAATAGGTACTTACATATGGTGTTTATTAACCTTGAGAAGGACAACGACAAAACTTTGAGGGAAGTATATTGTGGAGTTTCCCAAAGGCAAAATGCGTATCAATGGCCTATATTGGGAGATATGCGAAGGAGCTAAATTGAGGGTAAGAACGGTGGGAGAAAACTCAGAGCACTTTCTCATATGAGATGGAGTTACATTAGAGATCAACTCTTATCCATTTTTATTTGTCATGGTTGATGGATGAATTGTCACGAAACATTCAAAATGAGGTGTCGTGGTGTATGTTATTTGCGGATGACATAGTACTAATTGATGATTGATAAGACACACAATTAATACTACGCTAGAGGTGTGGAGAAGAAATTTGGAGACTAAAGGGTTCAAGCTGAGTAACATCAAGACAAAGTATGTGGAGTGCAAATTCAATGATGTGGTGTGTGAGGAAGGAATGGAAGTGAGGTTTCACACACAAATATCTAGGAGAGACAATTAATTCAAGTATCTTAGGTCTATAATCTAGAAAAGTGGGGACATAAATGATATCATGCATCGTATTGATGTGGCATGTATCAGATAAAGTGGAGGCTTGCCTTTGGAGTCTTGTGTTATAAAAAGTACCACTGAAACTCAAGGGTAAGCTCTATAGAGTGGTGGTTAGACCAGTATTGTGTTGGATTCGAAAGTGATTAGGGCGTCACGCGAAAGCTTACAATTGCAAATCATAAGGTGATAAATTAGATGACAAAAATTAATACTAAAAACATAATATTATTATATGAAAACTAATATAAAAGAAAAATATTAAAACTGTAAAGAGAAAAATCTCCCCATAAACAAGCTCTTAAATGTCTATTGGGTGGATTCTATTGTGTTGTGCTATGAGAATAGGGATCTTCAATTTATAGATCTCAAAAATTTTCCTCTAAGGAAAGAATAAACCAAATATGGAAGAGAATTAATTTTCCTTTCAGAAAAAGTTCGAGCATTTATGGTAATACTTTGACCTTTCTTTTAAGGAAAAAATAAACTTCAAATAAGGTAAGAAAATCAAGGCAAAACCCTAACACATTGTTGTATGGGACAGAGTATTGGCCAGTCAAAAACATCCATGTCTAGAAAATGCATGTTGTAGAGATGAGAATGTGAAGATGGATGTGTGCCCATACCGGGAGTGATAAGATTATAAATGAGGATATCCAAAATATAAAGTGGGAGAGATCTCTATAGTGGACAAGATGAGGGAAGCGAGACTGAGATGGTTTGGACATCTGAAGAGGAGATGCGCAGATGCACCAGTGATAATGTGTGAAAGGTTGGTTATAGAGGGTATGAAGAGAGCCAGAGGTAAGCCGAAGAATTATTGGAGAGAGGTGATAAAACATGATATGACGCAACTTCATATTACCGTGGACATACGTGACCTTAGATAGGATGGTGATGAGGACATGCATTAGGGTAGAATGTTAGTAGGTGGTGTAGTGTTGCCTTGCTGAGGGTGACTGGTATTTTTCATGGTACTAGTTGTATTATTATAGTTTTTTTCTATCGTTGTTTATAATTATTTGTAATAATCTATCCTTATATCTTATTTACTGTGTTCGATTATCACAATATTTTATTATTGTTTTCAATTTCTTTCAAGTAAACTTTACATTGTTACCTTGTTGCTTGCTATATTCCCTTCACTATCTACCTGGACTTGTTGCGCTTGAGCTGAGGGCCTTTTGAAAACAATATCTCTACCTTCACGAGGTAGTGATAAGATCTATGTACATTCTACTTTCTTCAGATTTCACTCGTAGAGTTTCAATGAATATGTTGTTGTTAGTATATCACCGTCATGGGTATGAATTTGGAGTGTCCTCAATAACGGGGATTGGAAAAGGAAACTTGAATGAAAAATTAAAGGGAAATCACAACAATATTTTATCTTTGGTTTGGCATTTTCTGACCAGAAAAGTTAAAATCAATTTTAAGAAGAGACATTCAAGTCCTGCCTGCAAATCTCCCTGAAAATCACCTTATTATTAGTAAATGGAAGGAACTTTGTAGGGTTTCTTCGGCTTTGCTGACAAACTAAATTAATAAATTATTATATACTGCAGAACTTTTTAACAGGATGATTAATTACCGAATAATTATATTTATTAAGAAATGTTCTCGATCTTTGTATCAAAATTTTGTTACACGGTATATAATTTAAAATAAATTTTCTGTAAAGTAGGCAAGATTTGTTTCAATAATATTTCCTAATTAATAAGAGATTAATTAGGTAATGATCTATGTAACACCAAAGATTAGTTGTCTTATACCTAAAAAATGAAGCTAGTCTCAATATTCAATAACTTGAAATGGAAATGAATTATTAACTAATGCGAGTCTAAACAATCTAACTTCGTCGTAGTATTTTAATCTTATTCGAACAATGTATTATTCTAGACTCCAGACAGTTATGATTGATCAACCTTATTCAAATTCATCAATCAAAAATCTTATTTATCAAATAATTTTTCTGATAAAAGAGAAAATTTATTTCATTACACGGGAAAAATTGTCTTTAATATTTTAAGATAGTAATAATTAGTACTATACTATTAAAAAAAAAAATTCATGCAAGAGAGACCAAATTAAAAGAATCTTTGTGATAATTTATAACATGCTTGTGAGACCAATAATGGAAGTAACTCTCTTTATTATTAAAATAAGATAAGGCTGCAAAGCAGAAATGTTTTGTTTAACCCCATAAACTTGATTTTTTGCTAATCACTTTCCATCAAATGATTAATCTATTTCTTTAGGGTATCTTTCCATACCAGAACTCCACTACTCCATTTAACTTTTTCCTGTTTATTTGATATTTTTTTAGAATAAGAAGCAAATTAAAGTCCTATCATTCATTGAGTCTAGTCATAATCTCACCTATTAATGCCAACCTGGGATTCTTTTGATGTCCCCCTTAATTTAATCATTATATTTTTATTAATCAATTAACTTTACTTTTTGTTTTTTCAATTACCACTCTGTCAAAATAGACTGACCGAAGCTTCTGTTTCAGGCTAATAATCAGCAGAAAAAGAAGTTTAATTTCTGTGCTCTATTACCGAGGTAATTTCAATACGTATTTGTGTTCGGATTGTGTCACAGCTTATATTTGACTCATTGGGTCTCAAGAATTTTACGAATCTCTTTAACATATATGTATAGAGTTCGAATTAAAATTATCAGGTTCAAACGAGTTCATATTTCATTACATCTGCTTTAGCTCGGTCTAGGGGTAAAGCTAGCAAGGGCGGAGGGGTCCCCTTTAGCAGGAAATTACATTGTTGGTAAATAATTAAAATTTAATCAGGAATTTTACCACTGATTCTTTAAAGAATTTAGAAAGGGGTTAGGAGCCTCACCATTACAGCTGGTTACTACATACCTAAATAATCATAACTAACAGATTTAATTGCTCTATAATTTCACATCAACCATAATCGAATCTTTCAGAAGATTTGAGTATGAGATTACTCAGTGAACTGAACACTAATAGACAATGTCAATGAAAATGAAAGCTGATAATAACATCTTAATTTCTCATTTATTTACAAAGAAAATTACATGTGCTCTTTGCACCCAAATGTGAAATGACTCTTGGATCTTAATATTATTATACAATAAATACTCATCACTTAGCAAAACAAAAAATTAGTACAATTAATTATACAAATTAAATTTAGCTAATATTGTCAATTAGTAGTAGTAATTTCTGAAGAAAATTAAACTATAAAATCTCTTCCTATATACAGAAGTCTCTTTCTTTTAATAATTGTAGACAAATGAATGGTGATGACTACATCTCAATTTTCATGTGAGACGTTTGATGAGGCCCTGCATCAAAAGATTAAGAAAACACACTCATCAATTCATAATCAACTTATATTTTTGACAATTTTAATCACCATCCTGTCAAAAACAGAAAAAAAAAAAATCGTCGTGATCCCTCTTCTTACCTTGTGATTGCAGTGTCATATCCTTGTTGGGGTTTTGGCTAAATCCCATCTGCACAAAACTTTGCAGGTCATCCTCGCATATTGCAGGGAACTGGAGAAATGAAGTTGTTAAAACCAAATTACATGATGAAAAATGTTTGGTTAATACACTGATAATGTAAAATCTTGTGTCCGTATAAATAAGTTAAATCTTGAATTATTATTACCTGATTAAGATATTCAGCAAATCCATCAAGGGGAGGCAATTGCATTCCTAGGCTGCGGCATAGTGAGTTATCTAACGTGTCCACTGAGCATCGACTTAGTGCCCCATTAGGAATATCGCTCCGGCCTTGTTGGTAAGAAGATGATGTTTTATCTACTGGGAAAACAGGATGGGGCAGAGAGCCATTTGGTTGGCATATCTGAAAGAACACAAGATATTGTTTTAGAACGTCACGTAAAAGAACGGGTCGTTTCATTGACATGAATCATGATACACTTACATCCTTGGAAAGGGGGAAATCCAAATTTGGGTTCACTGTTGCCAACTTCATGGATAGGAACTATAAAATGTTGCAGACAGAAGAATTAGCTGATGAATTACGACACATATTATAGAATGCGTGATTAGGGAAATTGTGATTTACCTCGACTTGTCGTTGGAGTGACTGTACATAATTTATAATTTCATCAAGCATTAGTGCTTTTCCTGTCACCTGGTACACAAATTAATCAATCCGTGTTAGAAGCAGGACTGGTTATGAATCGATAAACCAGAAAGGGAAAAATTGTTGATGCATTTCAGCTAACCTTATTACAGCCTGGTACAAGATCTTGTAACAGCTTCATTCTTTCACTAATCTTCTCTCGTCTCACCTAATTAAATGGGAAAAGAAGATTGTTAATACAAGGATATATGGGGTTTGAAACAACAAAGTGATTGTTAATGCTTACTCTTTCTGCTAGACTATGGCTATCAGTAGCTTGTCCTCTCCTTGCCCTAACATGAATATAGTCCTTTGGTGGTTCAGGAGGCTTTTGATTTTCCATAACTTGTTTTTGGGTTTCATCATCCTTTGATTCCTCCATGTTAACTTCTATCCCAGTACTTTCTACTTGTTTACATCGCTTTCCTCTTGCATTATCATCAGCTTCACCTCCCTGAAATGAAATTTTGATTAAGCACTAATAACATTTACTTAATCTCTTTTTCACTGACATAATAATCCTTACCCTGTTTCCATTAGCTCCTTGAGTTGGAGAATCTTCCTTTGAATTTCCTCTAGAAACTGTTTTTCTTTTTCTAGAACTAGAATTCAATTCAGTTGGAAGTTTTGACCCTGTTTCCCCACTTGGCTCTGAAGCAGACTCATTAGAGTTATTGGCCATCATTTCCATCCGGGTTTGACCCGAATTCTTGATTTGCAAAGGGGATCCACCTTGCTTGAGAGAAGGGCTACTCGAAACTCTAGGCAACTTTCCATTCCCCAATGGTTGAGCAGATCTATGTGATAATTCCGTATTGTTCAACCCCAACGGACTCGTTCTGCCGTTGAAACTACTGCTCCCAAAACAAGAAAATTTAGCAGCTCTTTGAGCAAAACTTGGATCAGCAGGCAATGGAGGAGGAAGTGAACTTCCCAAATTGGGTATATTATCTTTTCCCATCATGGGTATGTGTAGTTTCGGTGGAGAGTTTACAGGTCTACTATAACACGAATTGTTACTGTTATTGTGCAAATTATTGAATACCGGTTGAGGGGAACGTTTCCCAACCAACTCAGCAGGGGAAGAAGATACAATTGAGTTCAAAGTTGAGTCAAATTGGTTAAATTGAGCTGTTGAATGGTCCCAGTTGGGGTTAAATAAGCAATCAGAAGATTGCCCTGAATGTAAGGGATTCCAAGAAGGGAATGCCATAGTAGGTTCAAACTGAAGGGCTGGATTAGGGATTCCGCCATTCATGAAGTACTCTTTCTCCATGGATAATGATAGATTAAATTGAAGTTCAAAAATATCAACAAGAAGAAGAAAAAAGGGAGGGGGAGGGAAAGAAAACTAAAGAGAGAGGAAGTTATATAGGAGAAAGTTTGTTTTGACCTTTATTTGTTTGTATATTTATTTAAATTTAATGGAAGAAGAAATGGTGGGGTAGTAGTAGGGGCTTTAGCCGGAAAAAGCGGAAAGTAGGGTGAATTGCCGGGCCTTCAACGTCGCCGGACCACCGATTTACTCTATTATTTTACCACCTTTTCCTTCATCAGACCTCTCCTCCTGTACTTACGTGGTGTCCAGTATAGGTTCACGGGAACTAAGTAACTTTCGAAATATTTTTATAATTAAATTAAAGTCATGATAAAAAGTTCATAAATTTTAAATTATGAATATATGTTTTACGTCTAGTCTATAATATATATTACCATAAACTTGAAATAATACTTCGAGAAATAACCAAGTTTCAAACACGATGCTATACCAATTTCTGATTCTCTGTTACCCAATTCGTTTAATTTTATATGAGTTAGTTGGATTTGATATGGAGTTTAAAAAGAAATAAAGACTTTTGAAATTTATGGTCTAAAATAAGTGACTTATATTTGTGTGGGTTTAACTCATTTCATTAAAAGTAAAATAAATATTTTAAAGTTAAATTGTTACTTGATAAAAAAATGTATCATTTTTTTGAACGGATTAAAAATGAAAGTAAGCTATAATATAAATCGAGATAGAGAGATATATTTTTTGGTTTGTTTTCCTCGTGTATTTACAAATTGAAAGTTTCTACATGACTTTGTAGAAGATTAAGGGTCTGCTTGAATTATATTAGACAAATAAGAAACATTATAAATGATATTAAAAATTAAATATTAAAGATCTATATTGTCTTTTAAATATATATTAATTAATAAACAAATGTTATTAACTAATATTATGAAAAAAATAATTGAATTATATTTTTCAAATTAGTATATTTCAATTGAATTAATCATAAAACTAAAAGTACAAGATTTCTATGAACATCATGAAATACATATTTGATAAAAAGATTAAAATTATAATAAAATGTCATAAATTATTAAAATATTTGACAAAAATATAATCTATCAAAGTTTAATTAAAAAATAAATGACTTGCAATGTGAAATCTCAAGTCAATACTACTAAAACAAATGAAACTGAAAATATAACATAAGTTCTAAATTCAAAACAAAAATTTAACATAATACTTTTATGTTAAATTTCAACATAACATACATGAATATGATTTAAGAGAAAAGGAAAATGTAAGTCTATAACCTTACTCAACAATTAATTCTACTTTAGTTTAAAAATTATAATACTAACAAAATTATGCTAATGAAAAAAATAAACATGCCATAAAAAATAGATGATACAAAAAGTTGCATGAAATCACGTGAAGAAAATGTTGAGAATGAGAAAGAAATGAAATATAAATAATATAAAATCAAAATCAAAATTTTTAGAATAATAAAAATAAAAAAAGAATTTAAAATAATAGAAATAAAAATAAACTAAAACGAAAAAATAAAAAATATAAATAAAAAATAATAAATTTGTAATTACACCATGTAAATTGGAATTATCAACATTTCACAACTCCTTCCTGAGAAATAGATAGTGTAATTATCTCCTGTCAATTCCATTCAATTACTTGCTGACCAAATAATTACATGACTAATCAAACACACCAGATAATATAATTATACGAAATCTAATTACCAGAGTGACTTTCCAAACAACCCTAAATGAAAAGCTGAAATTGTGATTGTTAATTGTTAAGTAAATAAAGCACGTCACCGCACATTACTTTTGATTTTGTTATGATAAAATGGAAAACAAAAGTGTTTGGAAAAGTGATGTGGTTTTGCATAATGTTTGAAAAGCTTACAAATGTGAAAATTATGGTGGTATAATTAAAAACAGAAATTAGTAGGACCTTAAATTTGAAGTACATAGACGAATATCTTCTTTTATTTGGGAAAATTACGCTCTAGATTTACTTGAAATTATTTACACCACATAATTTAATATAAAATATTTTATAACATTATATTAGGTTCAGTTTATATTTGGGTATAAATACTTTTATACATTATTATACATTTTTATACAAGGTTGATACATTATATATACTATTTTTTTCAGGTATGATATTGCATATTAGACTACATGGCGTAATACTTTAAGTTGGATAGTATATTTTTGAAAATTTCTCTTTGATTTCCATAATAATTTATGTTAGTTATATTTACACGCCTTTTCACACTATTTTATGCATATTTGTATCATGTTTTAATTTCCATAATAATTTATGTTTGGTATATTTACACGTCTTTTCACACTATTTTATCCATATTTGTACCATGTTTTAATTAAAATGAATTCGTAATAAATACATATAATTTATGTTGATTATGATATATTTGGCTAATTCATGTTATTTTTGTGAAGGTAGTTGTTTTGGGGTAAAATGACATAAGAATTGAGGAAACTGATGTCGCCTAAAGTTCACTCTTAAATTGGAATTATAACGATTGATGTTAAAATATAGTAACCTAATTAGCAGTGGCGTAGCTACAGCCACTTTAGGATGTCCAACTGGATATCCTTCGTATGAAAATTACGTTGTATATATATTTCAAATTTTACATTTAATGGATATATATTTAAAGTTGGACATCCTTAACAAACTTATACCTTTGGCGCAGTGATAATGTGTGTCCATTTGAATGAAGGAGTTTCGAGTACTCCAAATAGCACAATATTTTTTTGTTTTATTTTGACAGTCACACACCACACACCACACACCATTATTCTTGAACACCCTTAATAAAAAAATTGGCTCCATCACCGCTAATTAGGTCGAGGTCGAATTCCACAAATATCATTGTTATAGATCTTTATAATTTACTGATAATACTATATTTGTAACTACTATTGAGGTTGAGAATTAAGTGGGAAACTATTAATTACTTTAACATTTGAATTTTGATTAATAATAAAAGATGAACTAAGGTTACACTTATAAGATGTCAAAACTCAAACAGATAAATTACTATCAACTTATTCAGTTGTGTTCATTGTGCAAAACTGACGAATTTATATGTCTCCTAAAATTTCTCGACCAAATTAAGAGAATATCGATTGTCAACACTTGGGTGTCGAATTAATTTGATCATTCATCAAAAGTCTTAGTTTAGTTATTCTATCTTATCTCTAGATCAAGCTATTAGATGGAGGTTGGTAGATCCAAAATCCCTCTTAATGAACCTTTTTCCTATTCTTAACTTCTTTTGTCAAGCAAGTCATAATACGAATGAGTTCTTAATGTTTGTAATCATTAAAAAAATAATCAATACGAAAGAACCTCAATACACAATGATCACCCCTTCAAGATAAGATTTTAATGTAAAAAGAATGTATTATCATCATTCCTACTCTAAGTTTCGTAACCCTAATTATGAGTTTAGCTACTCAATACTAATTGTAAGCAATAACAATTATAATTTAAACTATTAAAGAACATTAATGTAAATGAAAGTAAACAACACATTTGATTAATGCAACTCTTGCAAGAGAATATTGTTCATTCCACAATATTCTACTAAGAATCCATGACAAATCCTAAAAGTTGAAGAACAATGGATCTTCTATGTTATGAGTAATCCCTAACTTCTATAACTAATTCGTATTTTTTTACTAATAATCTGTTACCTTTAAAACGCCACCTTAATGACATATATATAACAACATGGTCAGAATTCAAATTCGAATTAAACTCTATTTTAACTTTGGTCAACTTCAGTCCGACAATACTAGGGGATGCGGTGCAGACCACATTGTGTAACACAAGAAGTTGCAGTGTGGGTTCCATCTCATACTCCAGCCTCCTTCGTATTTCGCAAAATAGTCTCAAAAAAATTAAGTCTTTAAATCTTGGTCTGAGACAGGTGAGGCACGAGGTCCAACGCAGTGTAGGCAACCTCGCACCACAAACTCCTTTTCTACAACTTATTTGGCTGCATTTTAGTTTGAAACACTTTGTTTTGCACTCTTATTCATTTTTTTTAGTGTTTTCTTGTTGCTTTTAGCCTAAAATAATCCAAATCATATCTATTAGTGTATCACAATAAATATTCAATAAAAATATGGATATTCATAAGATTATACTCAGAACTTAATTAAATTATGGATAAAATTTGATATTTAGATGCATAAATACACCCAGATCACCACCACATACTTAGAGATTTTGTTCATTCCGAACAATTCATTTTATTCACGTCAATGCTAATTGGACAAGATTACTTACAAATTTGATTTATATAAACACTTTAATCATGATTATATTCGAGATTTACTCATTCAAGAACAATTTTTTACCTCCAGACTTCTTACAAACATCATCACTTCTAGATTGACTCTTTATTTATGACATATATAGGGTCAACATGCTAAGATGTAATTACTGCAGTCACTAAATTACCAGTTCTAACTATTAAGTTCACTCATTATCAAAGAATTGTTCTTTTGTTGTACTTTTTCAGCTTTAAAAAGGTGCCTTTTACACTTACATGCTTTACTTTCAGTTGAGTTAGTTTTAGTTCCCTTGCAACATATGTATTTCAGTTAGTCGATTTTTCATTCCACTATTTTACATACTGTATATTTCATATACTGGCGTCATTCAATGCTACATCATCTTATTATGCAAATACATGTGTCCAGGATCGACAATAAGCACTTCGTTGATATCTTCCCTCTATCAGTTTTTGGTGAGACAACCCTGATTTCAGAGGGCTCATTTTCATTTATGTATTTTAGTTTTATTAGACACTTGGTTATTAATCAGATAGTTGTGGGTCTTATCTCAGCACATATCTCAATTTAATAGAAGCTTCATGGACAAGTTAGTGATTAACTCAGTATTTAATATTCAAATATTTAGAATATTATTACTATTTA